CGATGAATATGGAGTATAATACAGGCATGTTTTGGTAATATATCATCATTCGTTTGCCGTTTTTTCTTATACTTTTCTCGAATTTGTTCAATAATAAATTTTGCAAGCCTAATGCAACCAAAATTTACTGTTGAGAGATCACACTGTAGGATTAAAAGTTCGTCATCACTATCTAACCAAAAATGTTTAATCCGATTTTGAAGCTGGGCTTCTGTTTTGAATGTTGAAAGTTTATCAATTTGGCAAGTAACTTCATTCAAGCAAGCTTTGATATCAGTGTTTATATTGGAAAATGTATTAATAATTATCAATTGTCCTTCTTGATCTGCTCGGTCGTTTTTCTCACCAAGCAAAGTTTCCAAGCACGACTCAAGACTGTCATGTAGCTTATTGTTAAAGTAGAAGTCACTCCATTCAACAACTTCATCAGGTTTTTGTTTTGATAAAATAGATTGTTTCGCGCGCACAATGCCGTCTGATGTGGCCGTATCTATTAACCGTTCTTTACACCTCCTCAAGATCAAATCATCATCGATATCTCCATCTTTCTTGCATTGGTCGAATACCAAGCTCTGAATCGTTTCTTCTTTATCATATCCAATAAAAATATCATTTACAGAAAATTCATTTTTATTCTGAGCCTCCGTTTGCTCTAGCATTGATATCTGTTGTACCCATTCATTTAAAGTTTTACATAAACTAATATGATGTTCCAAGAGTAGATCATTAATTGTTAATCGTTGTTTCTCGAAACGATTGAGCAGAGGAGGATCTGTATGTTCGAGCTTTTTTTCGTCCATTACTAAAATGCACTTAAACTCGGGGTTTACGTAAAGCATTGGATTGGAATGAGCGCCAAGCGCAACACGTGCAAAGTATTTAGTATCTTTACGACTGCCAAGGGTTATATAATTCTGATTCCACAAATCATAGAGACTCCCTACACGGAGTGTTTAAATGCACAGTGGTTAGATTATTAGATTGAACATTGTTAACAGCAATAAATAACAAAAAATTACCATAAATCATGTCCAGGTCTGTAAGAATTAAAAGTTTTCCTGCTTCCACACACATCTAGGAGAT